GTAGGTGTGATGGGAGTATAGGTGTGATGGGGTATAGGTGTGATGGGGTATAGGTGTGATACAGGGGTGTAGGTGTGATGGGGTATAGGTGTGATGGGGTATAGGTGTGATGGGGGTGTAGGTGTGATGGGGGTGTAGGTGTGATGATGGGGTATAGGTGTGATGGGGTGTAGGTGTGATGGGGTGTAGGTGTGATGGGGTATAGGTGTGATGGGGTATAGGTGTGATGGGGTGTAGGTGTGATGGGGTATAGGTGTGATGGGGTATAGGTGTGATGGGGTATAGGTGTGATGGGGTGTAGGTGTGATGGGGTATAGGTGTGATGGGGTATAGGTGTGATGGGGTGTGTAGGTGTGATAGGGGTATAGGTGTGATGGGAAGTATAGGTGTGATAAGGGTGTAGGTGTGATAGGGTATAGGTGTGATGGGGGTATAGGTGTGATAGGGGTATAGTGTGATGATATAGGTGGAGGTATAGGTGTGATGGGGAGTATAGGTGTGATGGGGTATAGGTGTGATAGGTATAGGTGTGATAGAGGGTGTAGGTGTGATAGGGTATAGGTGTGATGGGGTATAGGTGTGATAGGTATAGGTGTGATGGGGTGTAGGTGTGATAGAGGTGTATAGGTGTGATAGGGGTATAGGTGTGATAGGGGTATAGAGTGTGATGGGATGTAGGTGTGATGGGGTATAGTGTGTGATGGGGTATAGTATAGGTGTGATAGAGGTGTAGGTGTGATGGGGTGTAGGTGTGATGGTGATATAGGTGTAGAGTGTGGGTATAGGTGTGATGGTGTGGTGTAGGTGTGATGTGGGGTATAGGTGTGATGGGGTATAGGTGTGATGGGTGTGTGTATAGTGTGTGATAGAGGTGTAGTGTGTGATGATAGGGTATAGGTGTGATAGGGGTGTATAGGTGTGATGGGGAGTATAGGTGTGATGAGGGTATAGGTGTGATTGGGTGTAGGGTGTGATAGAGGGGTGTAGGTGTGTAGAGGTGTGATAGGGGGGTATAGGTGTGATGGGGTGTAGGTGTGATAGGTGTAGGTGTGGTATAGGTGTGATGGGGTATAGGTGTGATGATAGAGGTATAGTAGGTGTGATAGGGGGTATAGGTGTGATGGGGTATAGGTGTGATGGGGTGTATAGGTGTGATAGGGGTGTAGGTGTGATGGGGTGTAGGTGTGATGGGAGGTATAGGTGTGATGGGGTATAGGTGTGATGGGGTATAGGTGTGATGGGGTATAGGTGTGATAGGGGTATAGGTGTGATAGGGGTATGGGTGTGATAGGGTGTAGGTGTGATAGGGTATAGGTGTGATGGGGTATAGTGTGTGATGGGGTATAGGTGTGATGGTGGTATAGGTGTGATGGGGTATAGGTGTGATAGGGTGTATAGGTGTGATGGGGTATAGGTGTGATAGGGGGTATAGGTGTGATGGGGGTATAGGTGTGATGGGGTATAGGTGTGATGGGGTATAGGTGTGATAAAGGGGTATAGGTGTGATGGGGTATAGGTGTGATGGGGGGTATAGGTGTGATAGGGTATAGGTGTGATGGGGTATAGGTGTGATGGGGTATAGGTGTGATGGGGTGTGATAAGGTATAGGTGTGATGGGGTATAGGTGTGATGGGGGTGTAGGTGTGATGGGGTATAGGTGTGATGGGGGGTATAGGTGTGATGGGGTATAGGTGTGATGGGGGTATAGGTGTGATGGGGTATAGGGTGTGGTGTGGATGGGGTATAGGTGTGATAGGGTGTAGGTGTGATGGGGTGTAGGTGTGATGGGGTGTGATGTGGGAAGTGTGATGGGAGATTGTAGGTATAGGTGTGATGATATCATGGGATATGATAGGTGTGATGTGGGGTGTAGGTGTGGTGGGGTATAGGTGTGATGTATAGAGTGTATAGGTGTGATAGGGGTGTAGGTGTGATGGGTGTATAGGTGTGATGGGGTATAGGTGTGATGGGGGTAGTATAGGTGTGATGGGGTGTAGGTGTGATAGAGGTATAGGTGTGATGGGGGTGTAGGTGTGATGGGGTATAGGTGTGATGGGGTATAGGTGTGATGGGGGTATAGGTGTGATGGGTATAGGTGTGATGGGGGTATAGGTGTGATGGGGGGGTGTAGGTGTGATGGGGGTATAGGTGTGATGGGGTATAGGTGTGATAGGGTATAGGTGTGATGGGGTATAGGTGTGATGGGGTGTAGGTGTGATAGGGGGAGGTGTGATGGGGGTATAGGTGTGATGGGGTATAGGTGTGATGGGGTATAGGTGTGATGGGGTATAGGTGTGATGGGGTATATAGGTGTGATGAGGTGTAGGTGTGATGGGGTATAGGTGTGATAGGGGGTATAGGTGTGATGGGGTGTAGGTGTGATGGGGTGTAGGTGTGATGGGAGTATAGGTGTGATGGGGGTATAGGTGTGATGAGGTGATAGGTGTGATGGGGTGCTAGGTAATTATAGGTGTGATGGGGTGTAGGTGTGATGGGGTATAGGTGTGATGGGGGTGTAGAGTGTATAGAGGTGTAGGTGTGATGGGGGTATAGGTGTGATTGGGGAATTATAGGTGTGATAGAGGTATAGGTGTGATGGGGTATAGGTGTGATGGGGTATAGGTGTGATGGGGGTATAGGTGTGATGGGGTATAGGTGTGATGGGGTATAGGTGTGATGGAGGTGTAGGTGTGATGAGGGTATAGGTGTGATGGGGGTATAGGTGTGATGGGGTATAGGTGTGATAGGGTATAGGTGTGATAGGGTATAGGTGTGATGGGGGTGTAGGTGTGATGGGGTATAGGTGTGATAGGGGTATATAGGTGTGATAGGGTAGGTGTGATGGGGGTACAGGTGTGATGGGGGTATAGGTGTGATGGGGTACAGGTGTGATGGGGGTATAGGTGTGATGCGGTATAGGTGTGATTGGGGTATAGGTGTGATGTGGTACAGGTGTGATGGGGGTATATGTGTGATGGGGTATAGATGTGATTGGGTACAGGTGTGATGGGATATAGGTGTGATGGGGGTATAGGTGTGATGGGGTATAGGTGGCATGGGTATAGGTGTGATGGGGTACAGGTATGATGGTGGAATGGGTATAGGTGTGATGAGGTATAGGTGTGATGGTGAAATGGGTATATGTGTGATGGGGTACAGGTGTGATGGTGGAATGGGTATATGTGTGATGGGGTACAGGTGTGATGGTGGAATGGGTATAGGTGTGATGGGGTATAGGTGTGATGGGGTGTAGGTGTGATTGGGTACAGGCGTGATGGGGTATAGGTGTGATGGGGGTATAGGTGTGATGGGGGTATAGGTGTGATGGGGGTATAGGTGTGATGGGGTATAGGTGTGATGGGATATGGGTGTAATGGGATATATTTGTGATGGGATATAGGTGTCATGGGATATACGTGTCATGGGATATAGGGGTTCAGGTGTGATGGTGACATGGGTATAGGTGTGATGGGGTATAGGTGTGATGGGGGTATGGGTATAAGTGTGATGTGGTATAGGTGTGATGGGGCACAGGTGTGATGGCGGTACGGGTATAGGTGTGATGGGGTATAGGTGTGATGTGGTATAGGTGTGATGGGGCATAGGTGTGATGGGGGTACGGGTATAGGTGTGATGAGGTATAGGGGTGATGTGGTATAGGTGTGATGTGGTATAGGTGTGATGGGGCATAGGTGTGATGGGGGTACGGGTATAGGTGTGATGAGGTATAGGGGTGATGTGGTATAGGTGTGATGGGGCATAGGTGTGATGGGGTATAGGTGGTATGGGTATAGGGTGATGGGGCAGGGGCGGATACAGCTTTTTGAGGGTATAGGTGGAGAGGTTTCAATGGTCATTTAATAAACTTTCAGGTGTGATGGGGGTACCCCTGCACCCCTCCTCTGAATCCGCCGATGTGGGGTACAGGTGGGATGGGTGTAGGTGTGATGGGGCATAGGTGCATGTAATTGTGTATGGTTGTAGTTGGTGGTGTGGTGGGGAGGAAATTTATTTAATCATCGGTGCGTGATTTTCGACAATTATGTACTTGTTTTACAGAAGATGCTTCGGCGATTCGTACATGGTAATGAGAGTCTACCTAGTTTATTTCGTCATTCTTCACATTGTGTTATGTAGATGGTTAGTGGTATGGAAACCACACAAACATTATACACTCCTTTACAAGCAAATGCGAATGCAATCACCTGTATTTTTCATATATGGAGATCAATTCAATTCCGACACAGACTGGCATACTGACATATGCAGAGAGTCACAGAAATTTGCGATTCCGTGTCTCTATTAACAAAAATAAGCATATGTTAGTTTCACGTGCATTCCAAGCCCCTTTATCAAATGCGTGTTAACTATATAGTACACTAGACTAATTTAATAGGGCTGACATAGTGACGTGCTTTGTGTGACCTTTGTTTCAATGTGTACAGTCCAGACAGAGCTTATGTCAGTTAATTTATTCAAGCCGAGTATCACGCCGCCCGCCTGGATCACGTGCTCCGCGTGCAGCGTAAAGCAGCCAAGAGCGAGATCAGTTCGCGTCAAAGTCAGTTACACAATTTTGTCGTGTCAATTTCATTTTCTGTTTACAACCGAGTGATAACGGAATTACCTTGATGTCCGATTATTAGAGATCCCCGACTCTTATATCACTATATATGTACTTCTTGTTGCTTTTGTTGAAAAAAGAATAATAAATTCATAATTATATTCATTTCAGCACTTTTACGCACACACTTAATTAATGTCTTTCTCCGACATGTCTTTATATAGTTCAGAGACACATTAACAGGTGCTGTACCAGTCTTGTTGACTAATCAGTGCGCAAGTTCTGATGTAAACATTGACAACGAGAACTGTGTGACATGCCATTGCCATCACAAGGCCACGTGCACATGGACAGCAAAGTCACTAGCTGATCACATGATAGATGGATGCTGATTGGCTGCTCAAACCATGCCCCCATTTTTCATTGGTTTATTGTTCCCCGCCCTCGCCTTGAATGTGAGCGTAGTTTGTACAGTCATAGAAGATGTAAATTGGCCTTCGATCGGAACCAGTTAGAAATATACGAAAATGCGAGAGGATATCTGTTCATACCCCCCATCACCACCAGTTACCCCGCCGGCGTTTATCACAGTAAGTATTAGTTTAGTCAATATATTTCTTCATTATAAACTCCAGTGGTACGTACTTTTCCCGAGGACATTGATATTCAAGCCTGGCTTGCGACTGAGAAATGTCCGAAATCTTGGGAGGTTTCACATGATCATTTGTTCTATTAAAATGTGTTAAAATAGAAAAGTTTTGGTGGTAGATCTATTCGAAGGAACGATGTTTTGGACTTGGGAATAATGTGATTCGATTATGAGTTACAAGTCAGCTGTTATTCAGTCTAGACAGAATAAGCTTTGTTTGTAAACAAAGTCAGCGATCTGTTGTTGGGAACCGATGTTCATTCAGTTTGAGATCAGAGACTACATGTTTTGTTTTTAATGATTGTATGTAACGTTTTCGTGTCGGCGTAGCTAAAATTAACATCTTTCCTGATGTCAGCGCCTCAGCACTGTGTCCATGCACTCCGCGCGTGAGATAGTGGTGACTTGTTGATAGCTGTGGTTACTGGGCCGTGGCTGCTCCTCGGCTCAACTGGGTGTCTAGGGCAGTTTTGTGTGTGCTAAATCTTAACATTCTCACCTGTACTACATCTTCAAAGATTGTTTGCCATGTGCGTGATATTTTTAATTCTTAAACACAAGTTTGCATATGTTTATGTTGATGATTTCGAAGGCACTGGGAAACCGGAAGTAAACGCCTCTTTGTTATGAGCGTGACCTTGCTCACCATATTTGGAAGGTGTTACACACGTTGAACACGTGCTCGCTTAAGTAGTATCCAAGACCGTCGAACTTTGAACGGGCATTACGTCAGAAAATATGACATTGTAGGTATTTAAACTTAACACACGCCTGGCTGTCATGATATGGGTAGATAGAGTTAGCAAAATCAGGTTTATGTTCTCATTAGCAGGGGGATGTGTTTTGTCGCTTGTTTCCCCAATGAAGGTTAAGATCAGGGAATGGGATTGAAAAAACACCCCAATATTATTAGTACATTATACTTGTTGTATAATAAGGACTATTTAGGACAATAGGACTGGAAATTGGACAATGAGGACTTCTTTCATGAAATTTCTAAAGGGAAACATTTTAAAAGAACTTGTGCAATTCACAATAATAGTCTATGAAAGTAAAAGTCAACCAAATTAATTTAATTTTCTTCAATTAACAAAGATTAATGTTCTTTGATAATTATTTTTTTGGTTTTTAGGATAAAGATATGGTATTGAGAAGCCCGAGTCAGCCTTCCTGCCAGGACCCCCTGGAGCGGGATGCAGTGGAAACACTCTTGGCAATGGGTGGCAAGAGGAAGCGGGATTCTGATGATGACCCTTATCTTGGGGTCATGACCCCACCACATTCAGATGGGTCAAGGTCGCCATGTCATGATGACCAGGAAATTAAGACCCTCAGCTACAGGAAAGAATCAAAATTAGCCAGGGTAATTATAGTTAGGTGTATTATGTGAATAGTTGGTTTGTTTAAAACTGAAAGTGTTGCACACATTATTCAGACTGTCAGATGGCTTTGAGATGAGCACAAAATAATTTAGTAGCTTATGTTGGTTGTAAAGTGTTGATGCATACAATTTAACCGAAATATTGCTATTATAAGTTCTGAAAAGGAAATGCTGATTTTCTTTGAATGAACAGTGTATGAAGCTAGTATTTCTAATCCATATAGAGTGTTGACGTAAACCTTATATTCAGTGGTTTTGATGTTTCAGTTATTGCTTGGTGACAGTTCAATGAGGCTTGAATCTGTAACGTCACAGGAGGTGCATCCAACAGCTACATCTCTGAGCCGACATGTGTCAGTCATAGTTCCACCAAGATCTTTCCACAACAACTCTTCTACTGTGCACTGCACAGATCAACCCATCAACCTGTCTCAGAAGAGAACAGTCCCACCTAGTGACTCAAGTGCCTGTGTTCATCCACCGAAACTGCATACACATGAGACGCATTCGACCTCCACCCTGGAAGCAACACCTAGACCTATGACCACAGTTGCTGAAAGTCCTCAGTCTTTTCCGTTTGTTCTCCCAACCACTGTGAGTACAGGTCCTTTGCACTCTGACAGGAGTCCCTTGGTATCAAATGGCTGCAAGCCCAATTGTGCCCCAGCAGTCTGCTCAACCTGTCCCAGTCCTGTGTGCTCATCCCTGCCATCTGGAGGAGCAAGAGTGCCGATTGTCCTCACCAGTGTGGATGGCAAGCTCGTTCCCACCATGCCTTCCATTGTACAAGTGTTTGTGTTGAACCAGAACAGTGCAGGACCAAGGAAGGAACAGACAAAAGTAGACAGTTTTTGCCCAATTGCACCGCATCCAGTGGTGATGCAGTCTGGAAACCGATCTGAGGAAGCAGGTTTTGGTGACGGCAAGCGACGGCGAACACATGAGTGTACCTTCCGTGGCTGTGATAAAACATATTTCAAGAGCTCTCATCTTAAAGCACACATCAGAACACACACAGGTATGTTCCTAAGTAGACAAATGTCTGGTCTTTCAAGTGAACTTGTTTTACTGGAAAAGCAGTTCTTACATTATCATGATAACATATAATGAAAAGTGGCCAAGAGAGTATCCTCATTTTTAGCCTGAAAGAGCAGTGATCTAGACTTGCCAAATAGAATAAGCTGGCATGGGCTGTCTTGGCATGGGCTGTCTTGGCATGGGCTGTCTTGGCATGGGCTGTCTTGGATATGTTTGTTTCAGGGTCTGTATGACTAGTACCAATGTAGTATCACCAATAGATAAACAAACAGATAAAGGGACTGTTTCTTAAGTTTCGTTATTTCACAACTCTGTCACTTGCTGTAGTTGGAAGTACTTGTTGGCAAACAAGATGGCAGCATACAACACTGGTGTAAAATGTCTGCTGTGTGTGCTGTTTGCCTCATTTTAGTGACATGCCACTGCCCTGAAGGTGTACTGATTTCCATGGCAACATGTCCTGTCAGGCCCTGAGTGTGTACTGATTACCATGCCAACGTGTTACCGTGTCAGGCCCTGAAGGTGTATTGTCCATGCCAACATGTCCTGTCTGATTGTGTTCCTGAAGGTGTATTGTGGTCCATAGGCCCCAACATGTCCTGTCAGGCCCTGAAGGTGTATTGTGTTCCATGCCAACATGTCCTGTCAGGCCCTGAAGGTGTATTGTGGTCCATGCCAACATGTTCTGTCAGGCCCTGAAGGTGTATTGTGTCCATGCCAACATGTCCTGTCTGAAGGCCCTGAAGGTGTATTGTGTCTCATGCCAACATGTCCTGTGTTCTGTCAGGCCCTGAAGGTGTATTGTGTCCCATGCCAACATGTCCTGTCAGGCCCTGAATTGTGTGTATTGTGTCCACATGCCAACATGAGGCCCTGTCTGATGTCCCCAGGCCCTGAAGGTGTATTGTGTTCCATGCCAACATGTCCTGTCAGGCCCTGAAGGTGTATTTGTGTCCATGCCAACATGTCCTGTCAGGCCCTGAAGGTGTATTGTGTCCCATGCCAACATGTTCTGTCAGGCCCTGAAGGTGTATTGTGGTCCATGCCAACATGTTCTGTCAGGCCCTGAAGGTGTATTGTGTTCCATGCCAACATGTCCTGTCAGGCCCTGAAAGGCCAACATGTTCTGTATATTCTATTGTGTCCCTGTGTTCCATGCCCTAACATGTTCTGTCTGTTCTGTCCCTGACGGTGTTCCAGCTTTTAACACACGTGTGTTGTTTCAGGTGAGAAGCCCTACAGCTGTGACTGGGACAACTGTGGTGTATTGGAAGTTTGCCAGATCAGATGAGTTGTCCTTGACACAAACGAAGGTGTACTCACACCTGAGAGAAATATATTGATTCAGCTGTGAACAGTGTGACTGACCGAAAGTTCATGAGAAGTGACCATCTTGCAAAGCATCAGATGGCGCCATGCAGCCAACAAGAAAGTTCCTACCTGGCAGACAGTGTGAGGGGTTACCGAACTTTGCCAGACTCAATGAACAAAACTTGTGCTCCTTCAACCCTCAAGTCTTTCAATGTCTTTGTGCTTGTCTTGCCTGTCTATGTGAATTTGGTGGATTCCTCGAACATTTAACATTATGCTAATTGTGAAGGCTGGAGCAGGAGTCTATTTATTTACAAATGTTCTTATTCATAGCCCTGACCTATTTCAGCACTCCAGGGTTTAATCACAGGGTACGTGAATATTATTCGCATATTGTCTCACTAGCTCGGTATACAACAAGTATGATATATGAATGTTAGTTACGATCACAGGTTTTGTAGTGAAAGAGGGTGTTGCTTATTATGTAGGATTATTATTACTTGCTAAAACTTCCCTTTGAGTGATCTCTAAATGAGCATCTTTCGGAAACATCATAATTATGCATAGGCTCTTCAATATTTCGATTATTATATTTTTCTACAAAAAAATCAGAGTAAAGACATTCTATTAATCTTTCTTTTATTCCTAATATGTTAAAATACTAAATCACCTTGGTTGAGTCCAAGTCTGACATCTGACATTCAAGGCTTCACAACTAGAAAGGAATAGATTGACCTACATTACTTGGTTGTCTACATATTTTCTGAGACTTTGTTTCCTTACATTTTGTTTGTTTAATGGTTGTTGTCTTCTTGGTGCAAATGTTGCAAGAGATCAACTGTTTTTCTGGTTAAGATATGACCACACACAACGCAAGCATGGTGTTGGTCACAGTGGGTGCAATATACAACATAGCTTGGTACATTAAGAAGGATATATGTATGTGACAAACAAACACCTTGGACGTTTCAGGACATGAATATGTATGTAATGGCAGCAAGCTCGAAGCTATTTGTATTTTATTCCTTCAACCACATTTCTTCCCATTTCATACCAGTGAATGTCTGAGAGAGAGAGAGAGAGAGACAGAGAGAGAGAGAGAGAGAGAGAGAGCTATGGCAAATAGGTCACCAGTTGTATGTTGAATTAATTCCTGGATAGGGTCAAAGTCCAGTCTCCAATGAATATTTATTATTAGATGTATAGTGGCAATGTTTGACTAGAGACGGATTTAGAGCTGGTTTCCACATACAGGTACGTATCCAAGCTAACATTAACATGATCAATGATAGAGAGCTGCCTGTGACATCGTGACACTTGTCACCGCCACAGGATTGCTTCTAAGTAAGCGTTGTTGTAAGGTATTTCACCTCACTGTACATTTATCATCTAATTTATTTACACTGATCTGTTTTGTACACGTACAAGTACATATTTATTAAAGTCTTGTGAGAATGTTCTGGTTTTGAGTTTGTACATTTATGCGAGTGTCTTGGAGAGAGCACTGTACATTTATGCGAGTGTCTTGGAGAGAGCACTCCGACAGGTGTTGCAGCTATTATCTATATATTGCTAGTAACTGACTTGCGAAGTCCGGTATATTATCACTGAATTTGTCGGCAGCATGAGGCGGTGTTGTGCGTCTCATCACATGATGTATCTACATACGTGCTGCCGGCAGTTGCCAGCGCCATCTGGACCTGCATCTGCACAAGGAGATCGGTGCAATACTACAACAGTAATCACTGCATCCTTTATCCTTACTGTGACCCTCTGGTCGGGGATGGTGTGTACTATACTGCATACCCTGCAGGCTGGAGAAAACTGCTGTTCCTTGTGTGGCCTGGCGATCTCATTCTGGTACTGAACTAGTAGCATTTGCACTCGTTTACCTGAAGTAACGAGACGATTATGCACTAGAACTATATACAATAGGCCCGCACTTTTCCCAGGAATGGCAACTTTCTCAAGCGGGGCCTTCACCCCCGACCTGTCACCGTTCAAACCTCGCTAACCTCCATTAACCGACATTCGTACGGGGCGTGTTCACATTCCGTGACGTCAGCTTTGTGTGGGCGTTTCATTCTATGAATAGAGCATTGCGCTCCCAGCCCCACGGTCCAACCGCGTGAATGTACTGAGCGTAACCAAGGACCGGGCTTTGATTGCGAAGGAATTGCTGTGGCGGTTGTGTAATCAGCACTTAGTATGTTCTATATATAGAAAGCTATTGCTCACTACCCAGCCCAGCCAGCTGCAAGGTCTCCACGGGGATATGTGGATTGTGTTGTGATCTGTGTCATTCGGACCATTGACTTAGTACAGTCGTTTAATCCTATCGACCATTAAATAGAAAGGATCTATAATCCCATAGAAAGAGTTATTTTTTTAACCCACGTTACTTTGTTTACACACACACAATCGCACGCACGTACACACGTGCATTTAACGATAAATAAGGCCCACACATGACATTTGGCTCCATCCTATTTGAAATGTCCCCAATGCTTGGTCCCTTTTTACCATGGACCCTTCAAAAACATGAAACGTTTCTTCACGCCCCCTGTCAACACACCACCCACTCTTGGCTCAATTACCAGTCCCTAAAGAGTGTGCCAACTTTCTCATTTGACTGACTGACTGACTGAGTTTAGTTTTACGCCGCTTTTAGCAATATTCCAGCAATATCACGGCGGGGGACACCAGAAATGGGCTTAACACATTGTGCCCATGTGGGGAATCGAACCCGGGTCTTCGGCGTGACGAGCCAACGCTTTAACCACTAGGCCACCCCACCGCCCTTTCTCATTTGAAGTCATACAGCTGGTATTGTGCATGCTCCGCAATAGTTGGGGTTAATTCTGGTTGTTTAACCACGAATGTGTGCCGCCGGTCAACCACTATCAACAACAGTCTGCAACGGACGAGTGAGTGAGTGAGTTTAGTTTTACGCTGTTTTCAGCAGTATAATAGTCCAGCAATATCAAGGCGTGGGGGGACCTACAGCAAAACATCAAGGTACAAGTCTGTTCGGGTTTCTGTGATTGTCATGGAGGACGTCGGGTAGCCAATACTGTGTTTATCTCCTAAGGCAACTGTGAGTATATCAAGGCTTAACATCTTGCATTCAGCCGTGTCGTTCCTCCAAGAAAGTGAGCTTGTGAACAACACAGTTATCCCCGGCAGTGCATGGCTGTAGATTGTGAAAACATTGAACATCCCCGTATTCACCAGACTTGGAACCGCCAGAACACCATCATTTCACAAAGAAACTTCTGGCAAAGCATTATATGAAAGTGGTAATGGTATAACCTCTGCTATGGGGTCCAGACACTGCAGCACTATTGGCAGAGGTGTGTTTGGCTCAGAGGGACAAGGCTGAAACCACCAGTTAGTGTCCAGTTCTATCAATGCAGTCCATTGTGGTGAGGTGCACGTTTCAATCGCTCCTGTATATGAACATGTGGAAGCGAATAGGTTCAAGGTTGCTGGTGCTGCTTTCAGTAACACAATTACTCATTTTCTCACTGTGTTTGTCGACTACAGCTTGATTAATACCAAGAGTGGAGTGTATTTATCAAATATAGGGTGATTATATAGGTGATGGACTGTACTTGTCGGATATAGGGTAGTTGTATCTGAGATGGACTGTATTTATCAGGCAGTTATATCTGAAATAGGCTGTAATAATCCGGTAGGGCTTTTTGTTAATATGTTTTTTTTTAAGTGAGCTTTAGCCTTCCCTGCAACGCTAAAGCCCTAAATGAAGCAAGTCTCAGGTTATCCCATCTCACTTGGTCTCCTTTTCAATTTATAATGGTTTATTTGTTGCTATCAAAATTATATATATTCAGAGACTAAGTCTAAGAGGAGACAAACTTATCTAGGTACCCCAAGCAACATACTTTTTCAGAAGATACATCATGATGTGATACACGATTTGTTTGGTCGTCCCCATTACGTCATGAGCAGATGGCTTCAGGTGTGTATACCTCATTGCCCTGTTTGGCTTTGAAATATGATTGGCTTTATATGAATATTTTGTGTCAAGATGGATTTAGAAAATTTCAATATTTTTGCTTTTGGAAATGCGCTTCCAAATTGTTATCTACTATCAACATAGACACAATGGGGTCAGACCAAATACGCCAAGCATGGTGGACTTTAAACCTTCCCTACTGGGTTTTTCCACTGAGGATAGGAGAGTGTATCAGTGTATCAGCGACTTCTACAAAACGTTTCAGATAAAGTTGATATAGCTGTCAAACACCAAGTAATGTTTATCTGTATTTCTGCAAATAGGACACATGGAGTCAATTTAAAGTAGCCGTTGGTATGGCATATAGCATCTTTACACCTTTGTATGAAAATTTGGTCCAGCCTATCGTATCCTATATGGTTCAACAATTTGGCGTACTAAGGCGATGACATGGACTGGACGTCACCAGTAACAAAACAAAGAATTGAAATCGAAATCTTTCGTTTCGGGTGAGGATTACATGCTGTAGATTGATCTTGTATACCCAGTAATATTGACCTATGGCCAGTAAAACACCGTACATCCTCTAGTAATATTTTTTTCAGTCTTCATTTACAAATCTATGATTTGAAAATATTTCAACTGATGAGTTTAACTTTTCTATAACTCATTTGCTATCCTTAAAGCAATCCATTTTTTCCATCCACCTTTCGGAGATATGACATGGAGGGTGGGGGGTGACAGGCAAGCATGCGGTAATTTTTAGGCGGTCGTTACTGTCAGCTGTACAGGATATAACCCTTGGATTTATGATTATGCTTTTCGGATTTTTCAGTTTTTTAGCTTTAACCTACGAAACCAAATGTTCGACCTAAGGTATGGATTGGCGGACTCACAACACGCTACGCAAAACACCAGCATCCACCACTTCAGTGGAAAATACATATAAGCTTTGTTCGTATAACTTTAACTGTGTGAGCTGAGAAACAAGGAGTTAAACTGACATTTCATTCTCTTTGGTAAAACATGGCGAGCAGGCAAACACACCGTTATTCGGCCGACAGCCGACACATCGTCCATATAGCACTTATTTTCGAGGATATTTCCGGCAAATAACCTCATATCTGTCCGGTGTGGATCATACATCCATGGTCACCTCCTTGTGTCACTCGTGACTCCGTGACAAGGCCGTCAGTATGCCCTTGTGTTGGATGGCCAAGACAGGCAGATAGTGCTGATAGTGTGGACTAGATACTCTGCATGGACTCGATAGCTCAATAGCCTCTCCCTCTCGTGTTTAATCAAGCCAGTGTCCACATTGTGACTGAATGAATCACAGATAGCCAGAGGCACTAGTATGTATCGACACCACACCTTCCCTGGTGTGAGTCACTGAGGAGCTGGAGCCGACGATTACAACTTACTTCATTCATCTCATCATTTGTCGATATCTGCCAGTTGTCATAACGTCTCTTTTACCATCAGATATATTTGTATAACCTTCAGAAGAAATAAAGTGTTTACATCTTTCATAACCATTTACAAACTACAGACTATTTCTAAGTTTTCTCAAGAAAGTATATTTCTTTAGTAATTTTGTTTCAGGACATTTAAGGACATTCCCTGTGACATTTGTGCAAATACATTGGTGTTTTTATGTGAGAGTATTTCCATCCTAGGTTTACGTTTACGTAACGCTATATTCAGCCTGTGACTTGTCACAAAATATCCTGGCCAAGTAAATCCGATAACACAAGCAATAACACACTTCGTCACCCCGTATAACCGCTGTGAAACAGGCCCTTCTCTAACATGGAAACCAAAGAGGAGAGTATGAATGTACCAAGTTTGTCTTTGAATATATATATATATATATATATATATATATATATATATATATATATATACACTTGGAAAAACGGGTAATTTTAACAAAGCTATATGTTTCGGCTAACATCAGCTGTGGGCACGCTCAGTTCGTTGGTAAAGCCGCATGGTTTTGTCTGTATGATCATGTCGTGACTTCAGGAGTTTCCTTCAACCTTTTAATATTGTATATAACACAATACACACATCATCTGTCTTGACCCAGAACGATACCTGATACATGTAAGGAGTAAGAGAGAGGATAGGGCAACATGGCGTGAATCTGATGAGACAAAACATTTATTTGGAACCTGGGAACATTCCACAATCAAGATCTAGTGTGCTCTCCACGTGCTTGGATAACTGCCTGTAACTTACGCTACGATACACAGCAAACTGTTGCATTTATTGTGCAAAACCGCTTCCAACTCAATAGGTGCTTGCATCCGCCCCCCGAATGTCCCAAATGTGCTCCAGGGTGTCCAGGCCCGGGCACATGGCGTTACACGGAATGTGAGTCACTGCATTATTCTGAATGAAAGCTGTCACTGAACGCGGACGGTGTGGTCTACCAGGTCTAGCGTTGTCATCCATAAATACAGGTCTTGTAGC